ATATGTCTGTCAGCGGGAAAAAATTGCAATAAGGTAGAAACGAAAATCAATAAATGAATTTAAATTGATTATAATACTGATCCATTACACTTGATTCCATATAATTTGCTACAACACGTGATACAATTCTGCTATCGAATCTTTTTTGCGCAAAAACTTGCAAATAGAACAATGAAAAAATGTAAATCTGATACGCGTATGTCTGATACGCGTGTATATAGTATCCTATTTCTATGTAAAAATGTAAGGTTTTAAGTTTATCTGGGTGATATTTATCTAGGTTCATTTGGATAATAATATGCCGATAATCTTTTCATTGTTTTACTGCCTGCAGTGCAAAAGCTGGCGTGAGAAACAAGCGTAACTCTGATCATATCAGTTCCTCATTAAACATCCGATGAATAATTCTTCTTAGAATCAAATATAACGTCTCAAAAAATATTCTCACATTGACCAAGCCATGAACTAATCTCTCGTATAAATTGCAGAGGCAATCTCTCCTGCACAGAGCCCCGGCAGACGCGGCGTCTCTGGCTGACAATGCTCGGGTATCACTTAATCTCTCTGGCATACACGCTTCGCAGGTTACGTACAACGTCGGTAAACGCGTCGGTGCCGAGACTGCGCCTGTAGCTCAACTCGCTTATAAATTATTGCTGCCTGGAGCCTGCCAGGATTATTCTCTATTGGCCAACGTTGCACCCAACTTGGCAGAAACTTTGTGAGCTATAAATGCTTAGTTCGTGGCACGATAATTGAACGTTAACGGTCTATTTGTGTCTGTGCCATCATTTTGACATATCTTTCGATGCATACGTCAGTAACTTGTCAAGTATTAAGGAAAGAGAAGACGCCAGAATTTTTTTATTCTTATTTTTTTGATAAACAATCAATACTAAATGTCCTTTCTTTCACCGATTTTTGCAATGCATCTATCAACCACCTTGACTTTTGTTGTCTCAAATTTTCGAAGTAGAGTAGGATCATTTCTTTCTGGAAAGGCTGACGAATATAAAATCATGAAAAGCACTAATGTGAGTAAGCGAAGGAAAAATAATCAAAGTAGTGCGCAAACTATGTAGAGTTCCCATAAGTATACTGTACTATGGTAACGCAATGGTGAAAGATCGCGAGACGCTTATGCCGGGGTCCCTTGCGGTCGAACCGGATGAAAAGATCACATAGCAGATTTTTAGGCAATTTTCAGTTTACTAATACAATTCCTCTTCGCAAGCCTTGGCTTCACGAAGGGCCAATACTGACGAATCAACATAATTAACTCTCCGTCATAAGCATAAATCTTATTTAAGGCCAATACCAAAAATCCCAGGTACCCATAATGAAACAGATGATAATATCGACTGTCGAGCCTCAGCGAGACGTCAAGTATAACAAGTAAACTCGACAGGCGAGGCCTCTAGCGATAAAAAGTCTGTAGATTTTGGCTAAACTAGAACGCGTACAAAATTGATGTATACGATGATGAGGTACCACATCCTAATACAAATACAGGAGAAGGCGAGGTATGCAGGCACTATCCTCATCAAACCGCTGTGAAATGAGTCTAAAAGAAAAGAATACTTCCTACGTTGATACTAATCCGTCACTTCGCAAACAAGATAATTAAAATACGGCAGTCTCTTGCGCAGCCAAATTAGGAAAATTATCAACGTTCTCTAAATTATCAGAAATATGTCTCAGTAAATGTGATTCCACATTTTAGTAAAAAATTATAAATGTACATGTTTTATTGGGTTACATCTGACGAGTAACACTAAGCTAATCTAGGAACGGTAACCACAAGAGCATTGTCACAGCGTCACAGGTTAGTCGAGACGATATTTCGTGACAAATAAAATAATACAAGAGCCTCCCGTCACACGTGAGAAGCGGGTAATGAGCTATATTTGATTGCAATAAAAAAAAATTCTCTAAGTCACTTGATAATTATTGTTTCTTTGGGTTATCACTTGAATGCAATCATAATTGTTTAAATTACACTCATGAAAAATATATGCTTTAACGCTGTACGTATTGCTGAGGAAATGCTCACTCCAGTGAACGGTCTGCTCATTGCTGAGGAAATGCTCACTCCAGTGAACGGTCTGCTCATTGCTGAGGAAATGCTCACTCCATTAAACGGTCTACTCATTACTGAGGAAATGCTCACTCCAGTGAACGGTCTACTCATTACTGAGGAAATGCTCAATCCAGTGAACGGTCTACTCATTGCTGAGGAAATGCTCACTCCACAAAATGGTCTAATAATTGTTGAGGAAATGCTCACTCCACAAAATGGTCTAATAATTGCTGAGGATATCCTCACTCCAATTATGTAACAATATTGACAAATCTCTCTAAAAAAAGAGACTGTAAATTAGAATTAACGAAAACAGTTTATAATAATAGATAATATTCTATATACGATAATGGACCAATGACATGGCAATCTCGAGAAAAACTGTCTTTCTTTATCTCAACTGCCAAAATGAAGTGAGTGGGGTCATGTCATGACTCTTATACATAGAGAGCGATGAAGTAATTCTAAAATACAGCTTGTGGCAATTGCCAGAAGTTTCAGTGTAAGTGAAAGGTTCGCAAGGCTTGCACTTTAACTTGTAAACTTATAACGAATGTGGGTGGCAACTTTGTCTTGGGACAAACAACTCTACGTTAGCAGCGTAACTTGCAGAAGCACCTACTTTACGGTACAAGTTAAGTCGTCAACTTTAATCTTGACTTTGGGATAAGAAACAATTTGTAACAGCTTAAAACATTGAAGAATTTGGACGTGCCGAGCGCTGTTTCCATCGATCGGTGTTCCATCTTGTGCGCCACGTCCATTGTTGATGGCGCTGGCAATAAAACATTTGATTTCGAAGCTGAATCTTAGATTTCGTCTTGACACTTAAAAGAGCTCGAAAAATTTGGGTGCTATAGCCTGAGTTTCGGGGCACTACTGTGGTGGCAATTGTTTCCTAATATTGATATTTAGTCGCTTTCTATTAATTTTTAAATGGGATATGTTTCCGTCGTGAATACTGAAAGATGTGAGATGCACCGATCACAAGTTTTTCTTAGATTAATTTAAACATAAGACTACTGCGCTCATAGCCGATCAACAACTATCACTTCACGACTACATAGTCAAATGTCTGTCTATACATTACATGGCCTAACCAGTTGAACTAGAGTTCCACTTTAACGCATAAATACATAGTGATTATTTGCTTTAAGCTATATTAAAATCATAACCTTGAACTTTTGTTCTCCCTACCACCACTACTGATGACTTTAACAGGAATACGCCGATTTTCGAGCAGTAACTCAATTAAAAATCCTCAAGGACAATACTTCATATATAATGTAAATGAATAATGTAAATGTGGACGTTATTCATGTTAACACAGATGTGTGAATTTAATTCTTTGGCAGCATAATTACAAGTTCAAATTAATAAAACATAAGATAAAGCTCAACGATGGTATTTTTGCACCTGCTTCGCTACCCAGAGGTAGGATAGCTCAGGCCAACCCTGTTCGTCCTAACAAAAAAATCTTTAGCCATATATTATCTTATATCTTATCGTTTACAAAACAACTTTGTCTGGAGTTAGACACACAATATTAATTTAACATTTGCGCCAACTTTCTTCTCAGAACGTATATTACTGTTCTGAGGCACAAGGAATATAATCTATTGCAAAATGAGACTGAAATTTATAGAAGTTTCAACGAGTAAGTATTAATAAACATAGATCTTCTAATACTCAAAGTCACTATATATCTGCATTGTTCCACCGATTGTGATCATCCTATGGATTAATTACAGGCTCAATGATATCCATTCCCTTCAAGTTTTTGCAATCCAACTAAAAAATTATAGCTTATATCGCAAATAAGATGTGTATTTTGAAGTTCGATGTACCTATTTCCGGAGGGTCATTTTTCTTGAGCTACTCACAAAAAACTGCGCATCACCAGGATTCGTAGACTGGTTCCCAGGCTTTCTCTAACATTTGCAAACTGTAGATTATAACTGTAGATATAGTTTCTTGTGACTGATAGGACCATTACCGCAATAATTAATCCTTATGGAGTTCGTTGGAAGGCTCGTACAGATTAGCTGCGCTAGCGAATGTATTGTCATACGTCAGTAGGTCCTGACACGTTCGCGTTTCGTCAAATGTTGGTAAAATAACTTATGTGCACTACAAACAACTAAGGTTCACAGTGTTAGGATAGACGCAATTGGCGGTAAACACCGGTGAAATATAGGCAGTTTGCCTCCGAGCATCAGTTGGTGTCCAAGATGTACCTACTGGCGAGGTTATTGTGATGATAGTGTAATCGTTACTGACAGAGAGGCTAATTATGTTAAAGGATAAGTTATTACGAACGAACTTAGCAGTTTTAATATTGTTGTAGTTGACATTATTGGTGAAGGCGTAACGCGTTTAGATTTTGAAGGCGTTGAGAGGCAGCAACTCTGGCACCGTCGTGTCCGGATTAATAAAGCTGTTCGGGCATCAGTGTCCAATTTCTCTTCTGACACTCGTTGATTAATTTATTATTTGATGAAATATAATATTTATCTCTGAGTTTCGATAGATTCTTATTGTTTTTTAAAAGCTATAGCAGTAGAATGAGAGAGAATAACTTTATGTTATTAGTTATTAAATATAGGATTACATCATACAGGAAGAGGCACTATGAGTTATTATTACAGTACCGGTAGTTAAGAAGGTATTATTAACGACACGACCGCGAGTATGACAAGCGATTACCGGAGCTGGTAGACGTGGTGGATGCGTCAAGGATAGACTGCGCTGGACTGCAGCTAAGAGGTGTTGGTTTATGACTGACTGGTGGTAAGCTTGAAGAGCTTAAATAGACTTATTACAATGACGTTACGGAAGGTGACGTGAGGGATCCTACTGACGACACGGGTGGTGACGTTTGAAATAAGTGAGCTGACAGCCGTGTGACAGAGTTGCTGAGTCAGAGTGTCGGGCAGCTGCTCGAGCACCCGCCGCGCCGGGCAGCAGCTCTGGCACCCGCCGTGTCGAACACAGCAGCTCTGGCACCCGCCGTGTCGAACACAGCAGCTCTGGCACCCGCCGTGTCGGACACAGCAGCTCTGGCACCCGCCGTGTCGAACACAGCAGCTCTGGCACCCGCCGTGTCGAACACAGCAGCTCTGGCACTTGCCGTGTCGAACACAGCAGCTCTGGCACTTGCCGTGTCGGACACAGCAGCTCTGGCACCCGCTGTGTCGAATGCTTGGCACCTCGAACGCTTGTGGCGTTTACGAGCTACGCGCCGTAAATGATCTCAGAAATAATTAATATATCTTAACTTATTACAATTTTACGCCAGTCCTTCGCAGCAGAACTTCCAGCCAGGGCGGGGTGTGAACCTGATCGAAGTGAGGCTCTGCTGATAGAGAATGCTGTTTGTGTGTTTACCAGCGACGATGCCTCTTATTCAGGCGCAGTAAATAATTCCCTCTAGAGAGATGAACTGTACTGTTTTATGTTCATTTCTGAATAAACGTAACAGGATATTGTTGAATATTGTAACACAGTGCTAATTGCTCTGCACGCTTCTAATGTAGGGACAAGAATGGATATCTCAATTTATACGGAATATGCACAGCAAGTGAAGCAGCTTTAAAGCAAGAGGCCGTATCTTCGCCATAACAAGCGTTATCTTCCTAGCATAAATATTTGAGACACACTTTATTTATTCTTTATTAAAGTATTTCAGAGACGAAAGAGAAGAGGACTCTATGTAAACAGGAACTTTAGCTGCGAGTTATTATTGAACAACTTAGGCATTTTTTGCAGCTTGGAAAAGCTCCACTCCGGTTACGAGAAGTTACGCATCCGGTACCTGGTGTCTACTAGATCTACATTGCACAAGACTCATTCACTTGGGCACGCATGGTAATCAAGCTAAGCTAACAAATAAATAAACAGACGAATAGGTTTGAGTTGGTCGCCAGATAAATCAATTTAGATCTCCGTGGCTCGAATTGATCATTTGAGCGGCTGATCGTTCCTGTTTGGCTCGTCACGACCCTAAAAGGAAAAAAGTTCGCTACTCCTTAATCATTGAGCCTGATAAAATTCTCGGTCTCTTGAATGTCCAATCTCCCGAACGGATTTTTCCTGCATAAAATAAACTTTATTTTCAGTCCTTGTCGGGAGCAGCCAACGCGCAGGTCTTTTTAAAGCAATTCTGGAAGTAATCCAAGAATTCCGGAGCTGCAGGAATGCTGTCACGAGCAGCAAGAGTCACTGTCAGAGCTCAGTGACAGCAATAGAAGCGACTGGCAGGCTCACTTTTCTTCTTTATTATGTTCCTGTGTATTTCCCGGGTGACGGCTTGTCACTTTTGCCCAGTTTATATCGCCAAGCTGCTTGCCCTTCGACCCAAAGCCCTAGCTGTATTCCGAGGATCGATGACAGCTAGCATTGATTTACATAGTAGTATTAATTGCGGGACAAGGGGTGAATGCAATATTTCAGTTGGGTTCAGGACATACAAAAATGAATGATTTATGGTTTGGATTAGGATAAATTAATAATTCTAATCCAATAAGGGCAAAGTCGCAAGATTTTAACCCACTGATCGTGAATTGAGATATAATCGTGAATTGGGATTATATGTTTGCAATATAAACCTATAGTAAAATTGTAGAATTGAGAACAACTATCGCAGAACTATGGACAAAATCGAAAGATGTTTGATTTACAAAACTACAGAAAATTTTTTTCGTCCATCAAATATTTCGTACGCGCCCGGAATTAAGGCATGGTGTGGCTTATTCTGCATTTATTGATAAATGTGGCTCCCGTCGGGCCAGATTATCGCAATGCCGAATAATATATTTTTTTTTATTTTCGGCATAAATTGGCAAATAGGAGTCGAGATCGAAGAAAGCTACTCTCTCTTGCGTGACTCTGATTATCGCCATTGGAGATCAGTAATATTTACTGGAAATATCAGCGACCTCATTAGAAACACCCTCCTTTTGGATGAGCTTTAATACTGCGGCAATTAATAATAATACTGCGGTTTAATAAGAAAGCATTTCCCAAGCCATAGGCGTAAATATCATAAATATGAAATCTCGTTCATGTGGAATATCACGCTGAAGATGTTATTCAAGGTACATGTGTCATATATATGACTCCTGCTCCATGCACTGCTCCATACATGACTCCTGCTCCATGTACTACTCCATACATGACTCCTGCACCATGAACTGCTCCATACATGACTCATGACTCCTGCTCCATGCACTGCTCCATACATGACTCCTGCTCCATGTACTGCTCCATGCATGACTCCTGCTCCATGCACTGCTCCATACATGACTCCTGCTCCATGCACTGCTCCATACATGACTCCTGCTCCATGAACTGCTCCATACATGACTCCTGCTCCATGCACTGCTCCATGCACTGCTCCATGCATGACTCCTGCTCCATGTACTGCTCCATGCACTGCTCCATGCATGACTCCTGCTCCATGTACAAGACATGTTGCGTTGGTCAACAGTTCTAAAGCTCGAGGTAGTCGCGGGAAGACCAACATAAAAATCTTCAGGTCTGAGTTCGTTCAAGTTTGTCAAGTTTTAGAAGTTTGTCCTGAAAGGACGCCATGTTCAGCAAACTTTGAAAGGAGAGTTGCCGAACTTGAGTTCACTAAACTCTTCAAGTCAAGAAAGATTAGCTGTACAGCGAAGGCGACAATAGGGGAATTCTTATAGCTTTTTTCACTCTCTTCTTATGAGACACCTGGTCGTCCTATAATAACAACTTCTGTGTCACCAGATGTTCCATTCAAAATTAATTGATCTCTAATAAAGCGGGCGGATTTTACTCCGAATTTCATATCTGCAAAGTATACTTCCACATTAAAGATCATCCGGCATTGACTTATTAGCTGCTGTAGAGCAGGCCCGTATGTTTTTTATATTATATAATTCGCATTATATCATTTTATGGGACGGAAACGAATCACAAATGAGAATTTTGTAAAATGTATGAAATGAATATAGTTAGCTCATGAAATCAATGCAATAATAATCAGAACTTGGGAATTTAAAAGTATTTATTTATTTTAAAATTTCACTTATTTCTTTTTCACTGAAGAAATATAAACATTTCTCACTTTGCAAATCATGCCAATCACTAATTGCAAAGATTGTGAAGTTCACAACAATTTCATTTTATAAGACTAATTGTTCAATGTCCATTATTACAGTCAGGAAACGTTTTCAAATCTAATATGAAGAACGATGTAATTGGTAGCACGATAACTTTTCATTACTAAAGTACCGTAAGTACTGTGGTATAAGTAGTGTGTATCTGAAGTACATATTTTATAAACTATATTTTCAGTGTAGATGAAGAAACATTTTTAATGAATCATAAATTGTTTTACATGTATAAAACTCCAGTGAATGAAATGAATATCATGCAGTACGACGATTAATGACAGTTGATCAAAAATGGACCAGGAATTAGGTGGAGTAATTATATTAAATTTCGCGGCGAACAGATGGGCTGACACGTGTTTATTTCAATAAGTTATTTTCATATATCAATGGTAAAAACATTTGTTCAACATGCGTATTATGGTTTACTAAATTGGAGTACAAGATGAAAAAGTTTAGGAGCTACTGACTGAAAGAGAAGGGCTGAAATTATAGCGTCGCGGCTGCCAGCTGTGTCAAAATTACAAACGGCATGACAATATGAAAGGCTCGAATTAAATGAAGTAGTAAAATGAAGCGAAAACGAGAGCCGTTTGAATTATGAGCAGGTATGGATGCTGGATAAATCGTAGAGAGACGTGTAAATCACCTCTCGTTTCCAAGCGTCTTACTCAATTAATATCATGTGGACTCAATGGGGGTTGTAGCGTCAAGATCACGTGGACTCTATGGGGGTTGTAGCGTCAAGATCACGTGGACTCTATGGGGGTTGTAGCGTTAAGATCACGTGGACTCTAAGGGGGTTATAGCGTCAATATCACGTGGACTCTATGGGGGTTGTAGCGTTAAGTTCACGTGGACTCTAAGGGGGTTGTAGCGTTAGCATCACGTAGACTCTATGGGGGTTGTAGCGTTAAGATCACGTGGACTCTAAGGGGGTTGCAGCGTTAAGATCACGTGGATTCTATGGGGGTTGTAGCGTAACGCTCACGTGGACTACACGCGCGTTTTAGCGTAGATCACGCGACATTCACGCGTATTGCAGCGTTAAGATTATGTGGACTCCATTTTACGTAGTCTACATGATCGCGTAAGTTCATGCGAACTCCATGCGTCTTGCAGAGCTCTCAAGCGAAGTGGTTGGTCGGTCTTCTTCGTTTTGATCTTCAGCTCATCGCAAGATGACAAAGTATCGGCCAGTGGAGGCAGTAGTTCTCACGAAAGAAAAAACTTTCTCAAATTTTGTACTTGTATCTGGAATTTCCCATCGCGTTGTTGCTGCCATTGGCTCGTGGGGGGATGTGAAGGGGTAAAAAAAATGGCGTTCACTCGAGCGGAAGTTCGCTATGCAAAGTTATAACGCACAACATCGGCCACACTTTGTGGTGAGACGAGCCTTTTGTTGAGTCTTTGAGAAACATGCACCAAATTTAGTCGATTAAAATTAAAAAATTTTAACAGAGCGCTCATATTGCGTTGCACTGGAAAAGAGTTTGCATTCATTGCCACTTACCTCTTGAATATTGAATTTAATTATAGAAAAATATTGATTATAGTCATGAAGACAATTTTTCGAGAAAACTGAAGAGCTTAAAATATGTTTTTACCGTTAAAATCTGTAACGGTAGCAGCAGTAATAGCTGCTGCAGTTGCAGTGCAGCTGTTATTGTTGCAGCAGTTACAGTGCAGCTGTTATTGTTGCTGCAGTTACAGTGCAGCTGTTATTGTTGCTGCAGTTACAGTGCAGCTGTCACTGCTGCTGCAGTTACAGTGCAGCTGCTATTGTTGCAGCAGTTACAGTGCAGCTGTTATTGTTGCTGCAGTTACAGTGCAGCTGTCACTGCTGCTGCAGTTACAGTGCAGCTGCTATTGTTGCAGCAGTTACAGTGCAGCTGTCACTGCTGCTGCAGTTACAGTGCAGCTGTTATTGTTGCTGCAGTTACAGTGCAGCTGTCACTGCTGCTGCAGTTACAGTGCAGCTGCTATTGTTGCAGCAGTTACAGTGCAGCTGTCACTGCTGCTGCAGTTACAGTGCAGCTGCTATTGTTGCAGCAGTTACAGTGCAGCTGTCACTGCTGCTGTCACTGCGCCGTTGCCGCTGAGCTATCGCCCAATTTTGCGGAGTTTGCTGCGGCATTCAATCTCAGCCACGCCGACACTTTTATTGCCAGCCTTGCCCTCTGCTGGACTGCAGCTGGACTGGATTCGTGTTGAGACTTGACTGCAGCTGGACTGGATTCGTATTAAGACTTGACTGCAGCTGGACTGGAGTCGTATTAAGACTGGGATGCAGCTGGGCCGGATTCGTGTTGAGACTAGATCGCTGCAGGACTTCAGCCGAATTACAGTCGTGTTAATTTGAGAGTAAATAAGCGAAATTTTGACTGAGCCAAACTGCACTCAATTTAACGGAGTTATATTTTGACTGCACACAATCAAGAGCATAAAAGTTATCGAAGATGAACAAGACTCGAGATCAGGCAATTGAGCTGATCGACTGAACCTGGCTGACAGTTGCGAACTGATCTCTCGCTGTCGAAAATACGGCTTGGTAGGAGAATTTTTATTTTATTTTATTTTATATCACGTGAGAATATAAAAAATATATCGCATGTGAACCGCATCTGCGTTACATCACTAGCTTCAGTTATCTATCTGGATTATTATTATAATTCACTAGCTCCCCACAAAACATGAGAAACAATTCGTTAAAGAACATTTTAACGCATGAAAAAGCTTTTACTTGACTATGTAAATGTCTTGGAATTGTACGTATTTTTTTTTCATGCATCGTTAATACCTCATCTAAACTTAATACCTCATATAAAATCACATGGCGCGAAACATTATCTTCGCGTTAGATTCCAAATTTAATTTATATCTTTGCTATGTGCATTTGCTGCAGTCTTGGCCTTGCGTTATTAACGCAGAAGGGAGCCTCTATTGAGCAGCTACAACAGCTACGATTAATAGCGTTTCGTCCTTCCAAAGACTGCCGAGGCTCTAAGTTAAGACGAACTTGAGCTGCCGGACGGAGTTGCCAATAGCGAGGTTTTCTTCGAGCGAACTGCGCCCCGTGCTGAAGTTTGAATGCCAGTCGCAGTGCCAATAGCCGTTCAGCCGTGGCGAGACGACCAAAGTCTTCTAAATAAACGAGTGAGAGCAGCAGACCACAGTCTGTCAAGCTATGAATAGCAGGCCAGAGTCTGTCAAGCAGTGTGGAGCAGACAAGAGTCTGTCAAGCAGTGAGGAGCAGACAAGAGTCTGTCAAGCTGTGAGGAGCAGACAAGAGTCTATCAAGCTATGAGGAGCAGACAAGAGTCTGTCAAGCTATGAGGAGCAGACAAGAGTCTGTCAAGCTGTGAGGAGCAGACAAGAGTCTGTCAAGCTATAAGGAGCAGACAAGAGTCTGTCAAGCTATGAGGAGCAGACAAGAGTCTGTCAAGCAGTATGAAGCAGACAAGAGTCTGTCAAGCTGCGTGGAGACGACAAGAGTCTGTCAAGCAGTGGGAGCAGACAAGAGAGTCTGTCAAGTCTGTCGAGTCCAGCATTCATTATGCATGGCATGTTTGGAAGTCAAGTATTAGCGAACAATAAACAAATTACGATAATTGGAGGATAACGGTAAGATATATAATGTCATACAGACTAAACACTTTGAAACAGAATTTTGCAACTTATTTTTGATAATATAAAGGAACGAACACAATATGGAATTTAGTTGGAAGGTTAGAACGCTGACCAATAATAATATCATGTAAAAATTAACGCGACGGAACAACGATGCAAAAAGATTTAATGCACTCGAATGGTATGACACTTGCAGAGCATCACCAGCCTCGTCGATACATTGTTCCGGGGAACGAGAAATTACCGCAGCAAATTTACGGAGCGGCGGTCGCTCTGTCATTCCGCACCAAAAGACTGCTCGTATTTGTCATTAGGGTGCGAAGCTCGGGACTTTTTCACGATAAGGTTCTGGAAATGAGCAATCAAGTGGCAGTATTTTCCGTCTCTCTTCCGCTCAGGAGGGTTTACTAGAGCTTCCGTTTCTGTAGAGGCTTTACCGCGACGCGGGACGGAAGGAGCGTCTGAAACGCTAGCAATAAAGCATGGAAAATAGTTTTTTAAGATTCATAGGCAATAAATTGTGGAGAAATAATAATCAATGATCGACAGACAGCATTCGTTGAAGCAGAGCGCGAAAATACTTTCATCCAGTGAGTGTAAAATACTAGCAAAACCCATGCATCAGCAGCGGTAAACTGAGCGCTCCGCCGCTACTTATATAACATAAAATAACATAGTGAAGTCAGCGCTGAAGTGTAGGCCTGATGTGGCCTGTCGCCGATTCTTTTCCTTTTCGTGCCTTATTCACAGAAGATCTAAAATCGTGTGATTTGACCTGATCTTTTCATGACTGACGATAGTTTGAAGTAGCTACTCGACTTCCACCGGTTCGATATGGTGCTAGACATTTCAAGTCTGAACATATATTTTTCCATAGCTTTATCTAGTCTGTTCTTGAACGCGTTCAAACTTGAAGCGCCAACGATGTCATCGGGGAGGCTGTTCCACATGTCGGTGATTCGAAGCGAGAAGAAATGTTGTCGCGTGGATGAGATGCTGTGTAGTTTTTTTAGTTTATTGCCTTGGCACCTGGTGTTGGTTCTTGTTTCAAATTCTAGTAATCCTTCGGGGACCTTGTATAAACCATGAGTATAATTGTATACTTTAATGAGGTCCCCACGTAGACGTCGATACCTGAGGCTTGGAAGCTTCATAATTTTAATCTTTCTTCATAGGACTTGCCCTTCATGCCTGGAATTATCCTTGTTGCACGTCTTTGAACATTTTCTATTAAATTTTTGTCCTTTTCAAATCTCGGTGACCACACGACGTTTCCAAACTCTAGATTCAGGCGCACGACAGCAACAAACAACTGCTTCATCGCTTCTGCATCTAGGAACTCGTATGAGCGTCTGATTAGTCCAAGAAGTTTGTTGGATGTGTTAGCTTGCGTTTCAACATGCTTAGAAAATTTCAGCTCCTTGTCGACATTAACTCCGAGATCTTTTTCCACACTAGACTTTTCAATCATTACTCTCTCGTTGCAACCATGTCTTCTCATGCTGTAATTTTGCTTACGTCGTCATCGATGGCGTCTCTTTACATTTAGGCAATTACTGGGACATATTATCCAGATGCTGACGTATTTCGGAGTCACAGCACAAGTAGAGAGCGGGGGCATCTCTGATAGGCCATTTTGTCGGGCCAAATTGGGTCAGGATGACTCACACGAAGGCAAAAGTGCATCATTATTTCGACAAAGTCTCACTCATTCCTTTGAGTGTAGTGTCCCTTATGCTGCTTGATCCTCCGGCCGATGACGGTTATTTTCATTGAAATTTCGAAGTGAGTTTTCTTCTATGAGAAATTCTGCATTTTTGGTCTTGCTGAACTCACTTAGCAAAGTTTTCCGGTGTTTTTTGATGTTGTAATTGCTTGACAAGTCAATTTTGAAAAATGTTCATTGTTAAGAAGAGGTAATAGCGCTACACCTTCTGCTCTTGTGCTGTGCAGTCATCCTGATAAAGCTGTGCCCGTCAAAAGTACGTATCATTGCTACATGCAGGAAGTGTGCAACTATTTGGACACTAACCCATTCATTTTTCTCGTGGGCACCGACCGTGAGGGCCGTTGACCGTCTCTGGTGTTTTTGAACGTCAGAGACGCTCAAAAACGCTTACCAGCGCAGCCTAATTAATTTCTACACGCACATGTAAAATTTTAAAAAGTTTCTACGAATTCAACGAGGAAGGATTCTAAAAGTAATACAATGCTACCGGATGAACTTCTAGGAAACAATCAGACACTAAAAACTATCCTAAAAAACTAATCTAACTAAATTGTGGGGAAATGTTATTGAAAATTCGCACGTTTAGCTAAATCGATGTTTTTTCATTCAAATGTTAGTCTGAATTGATCTACAAAAACTTACAGATGCCTAATACTAAAACCCGGTACCTTTAATAAAAAGCATTATATTACACTCATGTGTTCCAAAAAATGTTCGTTTCAGTAAAAGACACGCTCCTCAGCATCATCCACCCCTCCTCAGCATCATCCACCGCTCCTCAGTATCATCCACCGCTCCTCAGCACCATCCACCGCTCCTCAGCATCATCCACCCCTCCTTAGCATCATCCACCGCTCCTCAGCATCATCCACCGCTCCTCAAAATCATCTGCCGCTCCTCAGCATCATCCAACGCTCCTCAGCATCATCCAACGCTCCTCAGCATCATCCACCGCTCCTCAGCATCATCCACCGCTCCTCAGCATCATCCACCGCTCCTCAGCATCATCCACCGCTCCTCAGCATCATCCACCGCTCCTCAGCATCATCCACCGCTCCTCAGCATCATCCACCCCTCCTTAGCATCATCCACCGCTCGTCAGCATCATCCACCCCTCCTTAGCATCATCCACCGCTCCTCAGCATCATCCACCGCTCCTCAGCATCGCCCAACGCTCGTGTCTCCAGCACTATAGACGTTAGCGTTAGCACCCAGCCAAAGCTATCAGTTCATCAAGCTTCAATTGCTCTCAACAATCAGTCGTAGATTGATTCATTGATTGTGGGTGTTGACATTAAGCAGCGCTGTTGACTCTTGTTGCTGGCGTCGCCTAGGCAAAGGCAGGCTTTAGCTTACGTAATGCTTGGTCGCCTCAACAATTCCTTACGAGCTCTCAACGGTCGGGGCTTGTGCTGTACAGCGAGGGCTGTGTGTTGTGCTGGGTTACGATGTGGTGAGTTGTGCTGTGTGTTGTGCTGGGTTACGATGTGGTGAGTTGTGCTGTGTGCTGTGCTGGGTTACGATGTGGTGAGTTGTGCTGTGCGCTGTGCTGGGTTACGATGTGGCGAGTTGTGCTGTGTGCTGTGCTGGGTTACGATGTGGCGAGTTGTGCTGTGCGCTGTGCTGGGTTACGATGTGGTGAGATGTGCTGTGCGCTGCGCTGGGTTACGGTGTGGTGAGATGTGCTGTGCGCTGCGCTGGGTTACGGTGTGGTGAGATGTGCTGTGCGCTGCGCTGGGTTACGGTGTGGTGAGATGTGCTGTGCGTTGTAAATTAACGCTTGTGTTGTGGATATGAGTTGGACTAGCCCATGCAAAGTGTGTCATTCCAATAATTTTGGTGCAGTTCCTCATCAGTTGAAACTCAGAGTGAGAATCAAGGAGGCAAAATTGGTAAGGTCTTAATAATTAAGGTCCTAACTTTTTATTGGAATAAATCAAATAGTTTGAGTGATTTGATAAGTCGAACTTAACAATGGAAGCATTAACTAGAGAAGCATCACGCATCCGCGTGACCGGGGACTAGGAAGTCCCAAACTCGTCACAAGGTCATAAGGTCTGAGGACATTTTTAGTGGAGATATTCCAAAAACTTTTTGATGCGAGTTATAGTCGCAGAGCGAGGAATTATTTCTATAGAAGACCGAAACGCAAGCGGTGATTGAGTACATGACCCAACAGGGTTTAATTATATATTAGTTAGGAGGAACCAATGTACAGTATGGCAATTCTCTTACAAACTTGTCATGGTATCGCTGAGTGTTACATAGCAACGTTAGTTTCTTCGAGCCACACACGCATGCTTATTGGGCTACAGAAATTCATGCAATATTTTGCTCAAATTAAGCATGCAAAAAACTAAAGTATATAAAAATGGAATTTCACTTCTATTTTGGCAATTTATTGCGGGCGCACCTTATTTAGTCGACTTATATATGTATTGTGACTTAAAATATGTTTTTAAAGAATGTTAACGAATTAATGTAGAGCAGTTTTTCATTAAGGAAATGATGCATTGAAAACTTCCATTTCCATTGAAAACTTCCATAATAGAAATAAAAACGTTCTTCTGCCCCACACAAAAATCTGCCCAGAATTGTAACTTCAATATGAAAACCATGCAAAAGATACCTCATCACCACGACAATTTTGGATCAGTAGCGCCTTGATATGTAGGCTTATGTGACGCTGAGGCTTCTGGTCCACTTAGATTTCGCCACAACAACTTATATAAAATAGGTTGTATATGGTCTCCATATTCTTTATGCAAATTTAAATGGGGAACTAATAGTGATGCATGATTGTATATAATGAAATATTGTCAGCAGCTGATACAGACGGTCATACAGCTGCCGTCTGAGGCAGACTCAGCAGTAGCAGTCGTCTTAGACAGACTAAGTAGCAGCAGTCGTCTGAGGCAGACTCAGTAGTAGCAGTCGTCTGAGGCAGACTAAGTAGCAGCAGTCGTCAGAGGCAGACTAAGTAGCAGCAGTCGTCTTAGACAGACTAAGTAGCAGCAGTCGTCTAAGGCAGACTAAGTAGCAGCAGTCGTCTGAGGCAGACTCAGTAGTAGCAGTCGTCTGAGGCAGACTCAGTAGTAGCAGTCGTCTAAGGCAGACTAAGTAGTAGCAGTCGTCTGAGGCAGACTCAGTAGTAGCAGTCGTCTGAGGCAGACTCAGTAGTAGCAGTCGTCTGAGGCAGACTGTCTGAGCAGCTCATGAGAGGCCGTCGGCTTCACAAAGCAAGCGCTCGCGTCTTCCTCTCTTATGTCTTATGTCTCAAGAAAGACTGAACCGTGGTAGTCTTGGGAGCTTAGGATGGGAGAATGTGACTGGGGGACTGAGGCTGGGGGACTGAGGCTGGGGAACTGAGGCTGGGGAACTGAGGCTTGGGGACTGAGGCTGAGGGACTGAGGCTGGGGGACTGAGGCTGGGGACTGAGGCTGGGGGACTGAGGCTAGGGGGCTGAGGCTCGGGAAAGAGGCAAGGGGACTGAGGGATTAAGGTGGGACGCATCGAGGTTATCGGGAGGCCCCGCTATATAGATAAGGTCATTGCAGGCTGTCGCTGCTTGTATAGCTGGGAGCCCGACCGCGGGGATCAAAGCCAACAGCCCCAACAGCCCCAACAGCCTCAACAGCACCAACAGCCCCAAGAGCCCCAACAGCCCCAACAGCCCCATCAGTCCCAACAGCCCCAAAAGCCCCAGCAGCCCCGAGTTTACTGACGGCGATCAGGTGAAATTTTGCCTTTAGAATTCATGACAAGAACTCAAACGAAATGAAGGCGGCAGCTAAAACAAAGCCATGCAACATTCGTATACTGTCTCCCTGTCTGGACTTGAAGTAGCAGAGAATGTTGCATGCCATACCGCAATAGTTTTATGTTATAAGTTCAATAGCTAATTTCTATCAATTGATGGAATCGAAGTTATTGTTCAAATATGGTTATGAGATAATTCATATATCAATGTTTTCTTTTTGTTCATGAATACATAAAACGACATAGGAAATCTTGTAATTTTCTTCATTGCCATCTTGTATGCTTTCTGTTTTAAAATTTTTATTTCGTGTCATGTGTAATTTGATTGAAGATCTTTTATTTTGTGCCACGTGTAATTTGGTTTTACTGATTAAAGTGCTATTTTGTGTCGTTCAGCAACCATCGTCTTGTTCATGTGAGTTTCAATAGCATATGGCTGATGTTAGTAGAATAGAATAGAAGTGTCGGCATTGAAGAAATAGGCACATGGCCTGTTGCCGATTCTTAAACTTTTCGTGACTTGATTGACAAGGGATCCAGCCTTTCGACCCGATCTTTCCATAACTGACGATTGATTGAAATAGCTGCTAGACTTATTGCCTGCTCCGTAATTTGCTAGGCATTTTAAGACTGAACATATGCTCCTGCATAGCTTCGTCTGGACTTTTTGCCTGGTCCGTAATTTGCTAGGCATTTTAAGACTGAACATATGCTCCTGCATAGCTTCGTCTAGTTTGTTCTTGAAGACGTTCATACTCGGAGCTTCAACGATGCTATCAGGGAGGCTGTTCCACATGTCGGTGATCGAAGCGAAAAAAAATGTTGTCGCATGAATGTGTTACAACGCGGTTTTTTTAGTTTATATCCGTGGCCCTTGGTGTTGGATCTTGTTTCAAATTATAGTAATCCTTGTGGGACCTTGTATAAGCCATGAGTATACTTGTATGCTTCAATGAGGTCCCCACGCAGACGTCGATAACTGAGGCTTGGAAGCTTCATAATCTTTAATCTTTCCTCATAGGACTTGCCTTTCAAGCCCGGAATTATCCTTGTCGCGCGTATTTGAACACTCTCTATTAAATTTTTGTCCTTTTCAAATTTCGGTCACCACACGACGTTTCCAAACTCTAAGTTCGGGCGCACGACAGCAACAAACAACTGCTTCATCGCTTCTGCATCTAGGAACTCGAAAGAGCGTCTGATCAGTCCAAGTCGTTTATTGGCTTTATTAACTTGACCTTCAATATGCTGATCCATTTGAGTACATTACTCTCAATTCCCAAAGACTTCAATTTACTCAACAGCCGCTCATGTGGGACACTGTCAAATGCCTTGGCAAAATCGAGGTACACTGCACTGCCCTATCGTCCAGCAGGCGCGTCCATTCGTTCAGAGTAGACAAGATGTTAGTGGTGCAGGATCTCCCGGCAGTAGAATAGTACTTAGTAGTATGTCTCCCGGATGTAGTAGAAAAAGGCATCTTCTGAAATTTGATGTCAAGGTAATTTACGTGACCAAGTATTCTGTAGCCGTTGCATGACGACGCCTTGTGCACGATTTCTCCCTCAATCAGCTAGGATTGCAGACACTATACGTACATTCAAAGTGCAAGGAATCTGATAGAAATGACGTAAATTGTTTCAGTTTTGTGAACCAATGAAACAGCCATTGATGCTACACTAACCATCAAACGATACGGACACTAGGGGAAACTTGAAGCGAAATTTTCAACATCTTATCAAGAGCTGGGTTTCCGCTGCAGCTATTCCGTTACAAGTGTTGAGTTTGAAGTTCCCTTTATAAGATAAGTCCATCTGATCGCTTTCGTGGCACATACCTTGTATATTCCACGAACTTTGCGACGCTGAATTTCTCCAGCCATTGAGTATAAAGGAATTGTTTCGACCGCTGATGTCTGTTTTCGTGGCAGCTTCATTTTCAGGAGCATAATGTGTTAAGGTACGAGATTCTTCTAACAGCCTGTTATGTTTGATGCACCTGTTCCTCTTGACTAATAGATTTTATATGCAGATCTTTTATGAGAAACTATCAATATTGCGTCCCGGGAAAGCTCCGGTGAAGGCGATTTTTGGAGCAACGTTGAGTATCATGTAGAAAAATCGAAAGTTTTTAAGTATGGTCTTCCATACATCAAAGAACTGTCTCTATTTGTGGGAATACAATTACCGTTATTAATAAAATGCTATGCGTTTTTCTGGTTTTAACTGATGCATGGAATAAATGAAGATTAACGTAGTTGTGTTCATAGATTTTGTTGAACTACTTTATTCAAAATTTGCACATAGAAAAGAGTCGCTCCTTGAGATATCAAATGAACGATGAAGAGGCGCGAACAGACTCGAAGCAATACATTCAAGACTTAAATTTAAAATTATGTGATTATTATAATATTAAAATTAATTATTATTATTTAAATTATGTGAGCGAAAACATTTTACTTTTTTGTATTCAAGTTTAGATATTAACGTACATAGGAATTTTTATCTGAATCCTCAATGAAAAATACAGAAATGCTAAAAATTAGTATTAGTTTAGATTCATTTATTAAAAATATCATTGCATTGTATTTCAATATTATTCTGGTAATCAAATTGCACCTCCTGTAGCTCTTCCACACTTTTATGCAAGCAGGTCTTGTTAAGAAGCTTATGTCGAGTACATAGAACCTTCTGCCTGATCATTTGTGCACTTTACTTAATGAAAAGTTGATCATTTTTCTGTATCGATGCACTTCAACACATTGGATTCCTATTTTTGAAAGTCTTCAATAATTTACTATCAGAATGTGTTTTACATTTTGCATTACAGAGCGAAAAATTAAATCACGAAATGCTATCAGTTGATTGGATCAAATTCGTTTTATTTTGCAAATGAGTGAATAATTTCTCAGGCCACAACGTCATTCAAGGATCAAATATCTTAATTAAAAATTTATTAAAATAGTTTGAAGAACCCTGATAAGACAACGATTTACTTAATACCATATTCAGGGAGATTCATGGTACATAATTCACATGTATTCCTGCGGACACGACTCGTTAAAATTTCTTGTGCCAATTAGGCTCAGTGAAATCGTTTTGCAAGAAAATATGCATTCGGTGAATTTTTCATTGCAAGCTAGCGATAAGATGTAGGATATGGCCATGAGCGGAATAAAAAAAATATCTATCATAAATGAAAAATAATCTCTGCTAGAATTGCAAGGAAGGGACTGAGTGATAAATGAGATGTACTTCAGGATCCACTGGAATATATAGCACGACTCTGGGCCGAGGTAAGAGTTTCAAATAAACGTTCATAGCTCGCAGTCTTAGCCTGGGTCGGCGATTTATTGAAGCAATTTTCGAGCGATCGTCTGTACTGGGGCAGCGATTACGGAATTTTGTCCGTTCCTAAGGAAGAAGAAGCAATTATTCCGCGAGGTCTGACGAGACGAGTGGCCTGCTGCTGGCAACAAGCAATCGTGACTGTCAAACTGACATGATTGCCGTCAAACATAATTGTTTAAAATATAATTCACTTATAAGCTAGGTGAATTTATTACGTCCAGTTATATTTATTAGTACGGTTGCTCTTTTGTATCAAAACCTGCTGTGAATTTTTTTTTCGATCCCGTACTTGAAAGTTAAAGTTTACGACTACACGGAGCGTTTGATACGGGTCAGTTTGATAATTTTAGTCTATCAATTAATTATTATTAATTGATAGACTTAATTAATATATTAATTAAGTCAATACTCAAAAAATTATTCAATGCTCAAGCCGGATGAAGGAAGTTGATTGTATCGTACCAATTATTTGGATTTTATTCGAACACGGAGCAGTATAAACAAGTATGAAAAAAAGTTTAATATAGATTGCTCGTTGCGATATACTATTTCCATAGCCGAGGGTAATATTTATCTGCATTTTTTCATGTAAAAATATCTACAATATTCTATCAACATTATAGCTCTCTTACCATCAATGCATGAAGAGACGTTACGTCTTCGCTCTAAGGTGACAGCCACAAGGTTTAAATGCATGGCCCCGAAAGCTTGTTTTGTTTCGCGACGTCATTGGTAGGCGCTCTGTGAGCTGCCAGGGCATTGATAAACCTTACCAAGCCCCTAGCGTGTCGTATTGCTTAACTTTGCGTGAGACTCAGAGTTATTGTACGTCATCCAGAAGATGCTTGCTCCTTGGTTACAAGCTTGACCAATGTTGTAAGGTTGTCCCTTACGCCCTGGCAACGATGGATGTACATATTGCTCGCAATGTGCTACCTCGGGGCATTATACCATTGCGGATATTTGGGGTAATTCTAGCATTGTGGTCCCCGGGTAATTCTAACATAGTAATATACTTGGGGTAATTCTAGCACTGCGATCCTTGTGGCATTGTAGCATTGCGGTTCCTTTGGGGTAATTATAACATTGCATGTGCTTCTTAGGGGAATTCTAACATTGCGACTCCTTGGGGATAATTTTAACAATTTGTTTCTCAGGGTCAGGTAGCAGTTTTGTTCCTCGGGTGACTTTGGCATTACTGCTACTAAGGGGTAATTCTAGCATTACTATTCTTGAAGGTGATTGCATAATTATTATTCCTTCGTGAAATTCTAGCAATGTTTCTTTGGGGTAATTTCTGCTACATGGGGTAATTAAAACTTTTCACCTAGGGTTCCATCACGGTTCCATGGGGTTAATACATTCCCAATGGTTTCATGGGATAATTCAGTCAATGAGTACAGAGTAGTCAATCGAAGCGCTTGAAAATTATCAAGAATTTATGTACTAGACTTATATTATATTATTAAGTTACTTATGGTCTAAATCATCATATAGGCTTGGGCGTCCTCGTCCACGATCACACTGATGCGCCGCCTTCATCGTACCCCGTCCTTACGCCATCGATTGGCTGATTGCCTCGCCACCGGGGCCCAGAGGTCAGGTTAAACGTGACTGCCGCCCATCTGCGCTCATTTGAGCCAGCTGATGCAAAATACTGTTGCTTGATGCAGAATCTAGAAATTCTCCAATAAGCTTCAGGTTTGTTTTTATTATTATCAATAGAAAGTTCTCTTTTCCTGCCTAATACGTTTCATTGAACATATAATAACCTTTGCACTACAATTGAAAGTGAATATAGTTTGCGTCCCTTCGCAATGTATCCAAAGTCATTAACCGAGGCGTAAGCCTGAACGCGTAATTTAGGCAGCTTGACGGACTTAGTTTCATAGACTTGATTGTCATTGTCCTTGTTTCATTGCCACCTCAGGTGCGAATCAATTGCCGAAATGAATCTTATGACACTTATTGAACTGAATAATAATTTACAAAGTTCTAGCTTTTGATTCACTGACGTCCATGTCAAAAACAATGTTTCCATATATCACTCGAAACATTCTTAACCCAATATCTTTCGCT